GGAATATACAAATCTTTCTAGTTCTAGATAGCTCAAATCTTTCTAGTTCTAGTTCTAGTTCTAGTTCTAGTTCTAGACAGCTTGAAACCTTCAGGCCATATGTGGTTTCCCCCTCCCCCCAATTTCAATGCCCGTCTGCAAGAAATTTGACTGATCTGTCCTTTTCTTGCAGCCTGGTTCTTGAGAGAAAGGGAAAGTACTGTAGTCCCCATCCACTTTTGGGTCTGGTCTCCTTAACAAAAAAAGTTTAAAACGATCAACATTTCATAGTGGATTTAAGAGAAGCAAGTGATATATGGCTTTGGAACAAGATGCAATGGAGGAGGAGGAGGAGGAGGAGGAGGAAGAGGAGGACAACTAGATATATAGCATCAGATCAAAGTCATTTGTCAGCTTTTTGACATGCTAGAAGAGAACTCACCGCTCTGGTTACAGACAGGAATCGGTCATAACTAATCAGAACGATATTGAAGACTGAAGTTGTGCACAGCAGATAATCCATCACCAGCCAGAGTTTGCAAAAGCTTTTTCCAAAGGCCCATCTTCCAGTGAGGACATAGGGTATGTACAATGGAATACAAAAGGCACCTGAAATGAGAAAGCGTGATTCATGATTTTCAAACATTCCTTCTGCTGACAGCATCAAAAGGCATAGATTGAATACAAGTCAGGGCATTTATCTCAAACAAAACAATAAATATGGTCTGTTTCCTATTATCTGTCACTTCCCAGTGCCTTGGCTCTCCGTAAACTGCTGAAGTGTTGCAAGATCAGTCATAGTATATCGATAACCTCTTAAACTAAAGTGGTGGAAATAAAAACCCCAATTGAACCCAATGGGGGTGGGAGCAAAATGCTAAAAAATGGAAGGCAATTCTGTTATTGGGACAATGACATTCTTCAGCATTTGGGTAGATGCTGAAGAACAGGTAAAGGTGTCATCAGAGAAAAACATGATCCAGTGATGTGGGTTTAGAAGCCTGCTAGATTATGTGGTTGCAGTAACATACAAAAGAGAAAGCATACAATCGTAGAATGTAAGGGTCAGAAAGGATCTTGGAGATTAACTAATCCAGTTTCCTGCTCAGGAATCCACTACAGTATAGCATCCTTGACAGGTGGCCCTCCATCCTAAGTTTAAATACCTCAAGTGAAATTCATTTTTTTGTCTCCCAAAGCAGTGTGTTCCATTGCTGAATAGCTCTTCCCATTATGAAATTCTTTCTGATGTGCCACTGAAATCACTGAGATTACTTCTTTGTAATTTAAACTGATTATTTCTTGTCCTGTCTTCCCAAAAAAATCTGGACAATTGTCCCTCAGATACTCAAAGACAGCTATTGTGCATTTCCGCAGTCGTCTCTCCTTCAGGCTAAATATGCCTTATGCCTCTAACTGTGCCTCATTCGCTTTTTTTTTCTTCCAGGCATTGCCTGCTCTCCTCTGGGCATGCTCCAGTTTCTAAAATGCGGTGGCTTGGACTGACTCCTGCAGAAAAGAAAATGGGGTGACTGTAACTGCTAAAATTTTCTAGTTCCTTAGATTAACATGTGCATTGAATCACTGAGTTGAAGGAAATAACAAATCATTGTGTCTTGTGTTCCATCTCCAATAAACCACATAACTTATTCCCTAGCCTGCCAGCGTCTATTTTTTTATAGGATATTGTAAATAGGTAAAAGAGAGCCTGTTTGGTGTAGTCGTGAAGGCACCAGGCTAGAAACCAGAAGACCTTGAGTTCTAGTCCTGCCTTAGGCACAAAGCCAGCCGGGTGACCTTGGGCCAGTCACTCTCTCTCAGCCCTGGGAAGGAGGCAAGGGCAAACCACTTCCAAAAACCTTGCTAAGAAAACTTCAGGGAACCTGTCCAAGCAGTCACCACGAGTTAACACTGACTCGAAGGCACAAAAGAAAATCGATAGATAAAACAGGTGATGTTTAGATATAGCCCTGGAGCACAGAATAGGATCTAGGGGAGTACCTTATATTGATCATCTATATTGTCCATCTAATTCTGAGTTGTATTTATGGCTGCCACAAGCTCTCTAAGTCTTCCGCTGGGACAGGAATCGTTTCCAGCTCTAGAACTAAAGCTCTACCAAGCACTGAGGCATAGCAATAAAATAAAATAAAATAACTGTTTCATGATGGAAAGGGAGTGCTAGGATTGCCGATATGTGTCTGAACTGGTTCTCTAGAGATGTAATGGAGGTACTGATAAGATTGATCAATATTACTCCTTGTGATCAAAATTGCATGCCATACACACACACACACACACACACACATACTTCACACATACATACTTTATATATATTCATTCCAGCTTGGAGAAGCTGGAACTGGAGAAGTACCAGGGCCCAAAGGAAGAACTAGAGAGGATGTAGAAAGTCAAGGCCAACGTGGTCCCAGTGGTGGTCGGAGCACTTGGGGCTGTGACTTTTAAGCTGGGAGAGGGGCGCCAACAGATCCCAGGAACAATCTCCGAGCTTTCTGTCCAGAAGAGTGCAGGGCTAGGAACAGCTCAGATATCACACAGAACCCTCAAACTCCCAGGCCTCTGGTGGAGGACCCGAGATTGAGGAAGACACAGATCACCCATAAGGGTGAGAGGGGATTTTTTAAAAAATTCATCTTTTCTTTTTTCTGTTTCTTTGTAATTTCTTTTTTCTTTATTTCTCTATATTAAAGCAAGGGAACTATACTACTACTACTACTACTACTACTACTACTACTACTACTAATAATAATAATAATAATAATAATAATAATAATAATATAAAAGGAATCTTTCCCAATACTACCTTGAAATGCTACAGATAAAACTGAGTCTGAATACTTCTTTATTAAAATATAGGAACTGTATCCTGTTTCCAAAGGTACCAGTATTCTGAGGATGGGTCTCAGTTCAAGATATATCTGGTCACCTAAAGTCCTATATTTTGGTGGAAATATGAAGATAAAATGAACCAATCTTTAAAATGAATTTAAAGTTAGAAAGTACTTCACATATTGCTGTCACCTTCACCTTTCCATCTCACCGTTAGCTTAGCTCCACACAGTTATTTTATGAGTCTCATATTATTTGATAGATAGTGGCTAAACTATAAGAAACTCTGCTGTTCTGGTATGAAGGATGATTTTAATCTAGGCAAATAGTTTTGCAATTCAGAGTGCTTTACTAGGTTTTTAATTTACATTTTTAGTGTTGGCCACAGAGTCAATCCCTGTCATGTGGAGTGCATGCAATACAGAAAATAATAAAAGTAATTATACCCATCTGATGCTCTATTACTGTACTTACAATGCTGTAGTTGCTTACTCAGAAGTGGGTCTTGGTACTTGAAGTTGTTTGCAACCAGATATATTTTTAATGAGATTATTATTTTAATTTTACTGCTAGGAGATGTGCTATTGGGATTATAGTATTTTATATGTTTTAATGTATATTTATCATTTTTATGAGTTACTTTATTACACATATCCACTATTCAGTTATGGCTAAAAAAACACACATACCAACTTACAATATGATCGTTCATTGAAGTTAATGGCATGAAAATATCACATTGGAGCAATAAGATTTTTCAAAACCAGGAAAAATGAAGGTCAGGGCAAATCACTTCCAAAAATCGTGCCAAGAAAACTGCAGGGACTAATCCAGGCAGTTACCAGGAGTCAACACTCAACTCAAAGACACCAAAACAAATTTTAGAAAGTAACAGTGGGGATTGAGCTGAAAGTTTCAAAGAAGAGTTCTTCATAACTTGGGGAGCAATCACCCCAGAGAAGGTCATACTGTCTCATATAGTTTCCTAGTTAGGTTCTTACTGAAGTTGTGTTTGGAGAAAGGCCTCTTTTGATTAACTTAAGGTGCATGTTGGTTCCACCATCTCACTCATGTGATGAATGAAGCATCTGGAATGTTGTAATTTGGCAATCAAGAAAATGCCATATTATCTCCATTCATTAAAATCTTTGAAGCCTAATATGGAATTGTGATTTGAGAATCATATGGCTAAAGTTGCTAAACATGTCTTTCTCAAGAAATAACATATCTTCCTTTGGATATCTAATAATAAGAACTATTATTCCTTGAAACACATCCATTCAAACGGCAAAAGATGAAATTTTAGAAAATAATCCAAAATGTCCCTTTATCCAAGAGAGGTGGCTTCATGATAGATTTATAGCATGCAAGACTTTATTTTATTGCTGATATGAATGGAAAGATATTAAAACGCTCAGTGTAAGGTGAGTGTTTCTTTTTTCTTCTGATTCATATTTGGAATCCATTTGGAGTCTGTTGCTTTCCAGCAATAGTCAACAATTTAGGATAACATTGAGCATTAAGTGTTGAAAGATAGGCAGCCATATGTGAATGTAAAGAATAAGTAGAGGTTTTCTGAAGTGGCTGAAGCAAGATCATAAACATTTTGTTCCTGGAAAGCATTGAACAGCTGCTATGAATAGTAAAAACAGCCATCTACATTCAACTGCATACATGCCAAGGCTGGAAAAGAGATGTTGGTGTAGATAGAAATGGAGCTGAATGGAATGACAATAACCACAGATGTCTGTCTATCTATCTCTATATTTATCTATTATCTATCTATCGTCTATCAATATCTATCTATCTATCTATCTATCTATCTATCTATCTATCTATCTATCTATCTATCCTTTGCTTCTATGTTGCCCATTCAACATAGGCTCTAGACAGCCAACAGGGTTGATATATAAAATAATGGCCTCCTCAAACCCAAATCCATATAAAAATAAAAAGATCAAGAAAATAAACTCCCTCAGAAATACAAACACCATGTGCCTGTGAATTCCAATTTCAGCTACAATACTACCTCCTCCTGTGTGACATGGAACTAGTAGATTATCACAATTTTCCTAAATCCTAAGAGGGACAGCGCTGAAGAAATCTCTGCTGGGAGAGAGTTCCAAAGAGTTGGGGTGGCTACTGAAAATGCCCGCTTCTGAGGGCCCATCATGTAACAATCCTGTAGGGATGGGACATGGAGGGAGCTGATTTGTTGAACAGGAAGATGAACACAGGAGAAGGCAGTCCATCAGAAAATGAGGTCCAGAGCCATAGTGGGCCTTAAAGGAGACAACCAGTACCTTCCTTAAGCTTCTGCTGCTGGTAGTAAGCTTAAGCTTCCATTAGACAGGTAGGAAGGCTGGCAAAATCAAGATCACCAGCCTCAGACTGCATGAAACTCTGGCATCAGGAACTAACTGGTGTCCAGAGCCCAGGATAAGTTCCCCAGATCCAGGCAAGAGCTGGATCTCTATGATGGAATGTATCTCCAAAGGGGGAGGTGGTGTGATGGAATGCAGTAGAGACCCAGGTTCTCAGGAAGAAGGGAGCACATTCTAGGAGGGAAAAGAGGGAGGCAAGAAGCAACATAGTCCAGAGCAGGAGTGTGGGAAGAAGAAGAGACTTAAGAAAGCCACTCCCTAGATTCTCCCAGAGTATATCTATTAGGTTAGCGTAGTACAGATTTAGTCTGACAAGATTCTGTCTGTATGGTGTAAGCAATAAAGAACTGACCTTGCTGGATTGTTTCCCTGTTG